GTAACACCCACATGGTGCGTCCGACCACTTGTGAGACCGAAGCTACTGTTATGGTGCTGGGATCTGTTTGATCGACTGCTTCGAGCTTCATTCCGATATCAAACTCATGAGGTGGAACTGCCTACAGTGGATAAATAACTCAAGTTAGATTCTTCATCAAGTCAAGGTTCACCTTACGGAAAAAGATGCACGAGAAAGATGCACCTTACCAAATACTATTTCTAGCTTATAGTGATATATGTGAGATGCTTTCTCGCATGATAAACGTTAATTCTTTCCCTAAAATCAACTGCACGAGCAAAACCAATATTGTATCAATACTCAACACACCTGTTGGATTCACAATTTTATCAGTTATTTTGTCAATCACAGTTGTTTATAAGTTAAGAGCAATACCAAAGTAAACAGAGAGTCGGCAGCTGCAGTCGAGTTTGTATGTTCAAGGTATGTCTGCCAGTTGAAGGGATGAACAAGATATCCTGCCGAGAAAATACAATTACAAAACACAAGATAAAGTGAAAAATATAACGACGTTCACAAGTTTACACAAAGAAAACTGGGGTGGAACGTTGTAAACGCACATACTAACAATTGTAAGAAAAGTTAAAGGGTGTAGGCTTCTACAGAAACTGTGGTGCTGCGTCGGTGGGGAAGAATAACCAGATCATTTGGTTTCATCAACTGTGTTGATAATGTAGATTGATCACCGGAAAGAATTTATATGGCCGACGTTTCGAGCCTTAGTCCATCGTCACTCGCTTTGATAAAGGGCTTAGACTGAAGCGTCAGCTTTAAACACTCCTTACGATGGCCAGTCTATATTACCAACTCAGTTGATTAAACCAAACCATTATGTAAGAAAAATAATGTATTCTAGGCGTTCAGTTGGTAAAACAGAACAAAATAGTAAACGGCGCTATTGTAATGGCGGATGAAAAAAGGGAAGGAGTTTGGGTCGACCAGACCCAGCCCTCCCCCGCTTTTTTCACCTAGCCGCCACCGGTTATGGCGCTGTATACCATCCCCTGTAAAATCCATCGAAAGCATAAAACAGCATTATCATGAATGCTGTATGTGCCCACAGACAATTCACGACATTTCTGATCTGGCAGAATACAAGATGCATCAAACACAAACCAACAAACTTGATCTCAAGGGTAGGAAACATTTTTCTGAACTTGACTTTTTGCCTCTCCTTCACCTTGTGCAATGTTGAAAGAACAATTTTATACCCTGAATTTTGCCTAAATTGCAATAAATTTTCAGTGGC